TTCATCTTTTACCCACTTTCATCTTTTACCCACTTTCATCTTTTACCCCACTACAATCCGTGTCCTCATTCACCCATTCATACTTCACTCTACTAGATCTCTACAAATATTAATCAGAGCTTTATCACATTCATGCACCGATGGGACACATCGGAGGCAATGAGGGGTTCAGTGTCTTGCCCAGTGACACTTCAGCATGTGACTGCTGGTGGATTCAAACCCCCAGCTCCTGCATTGGAGGACGACTGCTCTAACCACTCAGCCACAGCCGCCCCCCAGCCGCCCTCATTCTTAGCATGAGGGTGGTTCTTGTTCCTGGACATTGGTCTCTGGTGTATCCTGTCAAAGGGTACGTTAAAGCCCCCATGGGCCGCCTGTTTGGCGCAGACCTGTGGAAACGAGTCAAAAAGATGAAAACTAAAAATGAAATGATACCAAGCCCCGTTTTTTTCTGCATGAAGCTTCATCAGCTTCTTGTTGTCTGGTTCAGATATTCAAGTCCGTCCATTCCACAAAGTTACACACAAGTTAATGTTGTTGTTTTTTTTTACTTTATCAAACCAAATTCTTATAAACTTATATCGGTAGACCAGTGTGTGGCAGTACAGCTTCACTGTTTTTATGTTTGCAAGAAAACATTTATCAAATCTGTGTTTGTTCTGACAGGATCAGAAACTCCAGATTGTTTTAAATTTGCCTTAAAATGTGTATTTCAATGATCTGCAGCATTCAGGAATGCTGTTCTTTAGCTCCTTTCATGGACCCTTTATGAACGGTCGGCCTGTTTGTTTTATCAATACGGATGGTCACGGTCAGCTGACTCTTTGTTTATGACCACGATGACTCGTGCGTTTAAAAAGATGCTCTCTGATTCTCACAGAACAGTTGCTCTAAACGTCACATCTCTGTTGCAAGGAGTTTGTTTAGTTTCTCTGAGGAAAATCTTCTATATTTTATCTATTTTTACGTCAAAGACTAAAACGTTTTCACTTTTTTTTTTCCGTACATTTTTAATTTTCTTTA